TTCTTAACCAATTAATGGCTTTAGATTTAGATTTTCTCTGAGTGACTGCAACTTGCTACCAGTTTTTCATGGCATCATCATCATCAGCATAGTCTCTGGTTAATCATCATTTCAGCAAGAGCCTTTCCTTCTGAACAATCTGAAATTAGCATAACTTTGGGCGTCTAATGTCGTTGCTCTAACGGTCAGCTTCAATCATCTCTGTGCCGGTATGTGTTTGTGTTAACAAGCAATTGATAAAACAAAGCGGTAAATGTTTAACCAAAACATGTTCCTATAAGAGGTAAGCCCCCTCCGCCTCTCAGAGAAAATCTGTGTTTGTGATGTAATGGATCATGCTCAGGGGAAAATGCTTGAGCTGAGAGTTACGGGATAAAAGAGTTCTTGATGTCTGAGGTGTTGACTTCTCGACGGGAGAGCTATAAGCTGATGAGGCTTTCGAATTGCCAGGGGAAATTTGGTAGATGTTTGCTGATGTCGGAAGTCGGTATCAGAAGCCACTTTCTAGAAGGAGATTTTATGTTTGACTAAACAAGAAGTAAAATGGGAAAGTCTTACTCCGCGTATTCGCATACCTTCTAAGCCACAATCATAGACTTATTTCAGCTGTCATTTTCCACTTTCAATTAAACGTACTAAACGTCAAATTTCCATGGTTGATTTCCCCTGTATTTTCCACCCTCCAACTTTCTTGGCTTGGCCTTTGATCAGCCCACACACACGGATCCACTGTGATGACCACAGACAGACCTCGATAAGTGCACTTTGCCATGCTACTTCAGCATGTCAATCATCGGCTGACCAAGTCACGCCTTCTTCCGCTGTCCACATATGTATCTATATGTGTATATAGGGAAAATCGGCGGCAGCTGCCGATGTCTGTTAAATTGTTAGACAACAAATTTCACACTCTTTCACGAACCGTAGGAGGGTTTTCCTTTTGTCTTTGATTTGGCACCGCCTTCGTCTCTTTTCTCTTTTTAATTTTATTTCTTTTCGTTATGATTTCTAGAAAACCACATTAACTGCAATTCACTTTTTTTTCTGCTGAACATAATTTTTCATGTTTTCCATTCGGTTACATACTTGGCTGCCAAAGCTGTGATTATATGCTCTATGACTTGTGAAATTGTCAGTGTCATTGCTATTGCAACGAGGCACGAGTCGAACTTTGGTTGAGAGAAGAAAACGCCATCGAAAGTTCGTTTGAAAGTGATCGAATTGGTCTGGTTACCATGGTTAGTTGGGGAAGAGGTCATATGGGTATAAAGCTTAGAGCTAACTAGCCGAGTAAATCTTAAGCGGAGTGTCTAGGTTAAGTGAAATTATCTAGTAATTTGAAGCTTTCAAAAGAAATCCATTTAGTGAACTAGTTTTTTGAGTTTTCTTAGATAATTTAGTTATTTTTGCATTCGCTAATAGTTTCTAATTGGCTTGCCTAATTTTATTCAATTTATTTTAAGTAAATTGCTTTGTTCTTTTCTGCTTTTTCAATTTTTAGATTTAACCAATAGGAAAATTACTATTTTATTTCAATTGTTCTAAAACTGATTAGCTATAATTATGATTGATTATGATATTGAAGAGCTCTGAAAATGTAGGTATTCCCATTAGATTAGTTCTATTTCTTATTCAAAAATCTATGCCGCCTCAAAGTACCCACCTTAGGTAGAACCCATCATACCCTTGACTTTGCTCAGCATAAAACTGCAGTTAAAATTTCTTTTAGCCTCATTGTATGATGCATATGGCAAGGCTATAATTAATTATTATGAGTGGTGGTCTTTCCAAAGCTTTGGCTCATGCCAAGCCTCTGGGCCTTCTCATCCACCCCGATAATTAGCCGAGTTGGAAGCGTGAAAAAGTCGTATGTTGGTGGGTTGCATCACCACAATTATGTGGATACTAAAGGGGAAACTGAGGAATTTGCAACTCATGCGAAAAAGAAGATCCGCAGACGGAATCAGACATGACCTAGCCATAGGAACTAGCAGCTAACGAACTAACGGTGCTTTGCCCTCTATAATTAAGCACAATCGGTTTGTCTATACAAATCAAACAAAATACATTTCGGTCTTTAGCCTCGTTTGCAGTTCTAACTCGATTGTGTGTTTCGAGAAGAAAGCGTGTAAATTCAACTGGCAGCGAAACAGCGAAACAGCGAAAGTTTTCCCCCAGCTTGTATTATTATTTGTATGCAAATTAGCAAAGAAACGAACCCCAATTCTTTTGTTGGCAATGTAACAATTAGGCTTTCATCTTTTGATTGTTGCCTAAAAAACAACTGACTTCGAAAAGAGAAAAAAAAAGAACACAAATATATTTAACAATGTGTTAATTACACGCGGTCACAGTGCTAAATCTAAAACCAAGGCATTCTCCTGCTAGTTTCTTCTAACTCTGCGGTAACCGTAAACAAATCTGCGCTTAATCGTTAATTTATGATATTCCTAGCGGTAACCGACAGCCGGCAATCAAGACCCAACCCCGAGCTTGACGCTTCGCTGATCAAGCGTCATCGTCTTCTGGGTATTCTCCACCTCAACTGACCATCATGGGTAGCTCATAAAGTTCTTCTGATGAGCGCCGTTGTCTTGAGCGGCATTGATTCGATTTTATGACCTTTCGAAGCCCATTAACATGCTGGATGCCCGACCATTGAATCGTAATTAATGATCACTTTTCACTCAGCGGTTTTCAATGCGTTTTGTTTATTGAATGGAATATTTCCAAGGGTCAACTGTTGGGTGTAGCAGGTGTATGCTGTGTACGGATGAAAACTAGCATTAATTAACTGCTTCTCTTCTGCGGAAGCCAGTCGTATAATCTTTTATTTGGACAAGAAAATCCTGTGTAGTACACCAGATTAGCCATCACCTAAGCTAGCAGATTTGAGAAGCGCAGAGAGAGGCGTTGGGAGAGTGTCTTTTTGCTTTAATCAAATCCAACATCCATGGGAACCACCTCATGGGATCGGCAATGAAAGGCTCGGGTTAACTTTCCCCGGCTTAACTTTCTGGCGGGGAACTGGAACCCAAGCCTAATCCAACTCATTCTTAAATTCCACAAACATTCCCAAGTGCGGCAGGCATAATCGGATCCATCCATTGACAGGCCTTACTTAAAACGGCATCAAACGATGCTAACCGCACAAGAGCAGTTCGATTAATCTGCAGTTCGATTTAGCCAGCTAACAAACAATTAAAGTCTTCATTAGACTGGTCGGTGTGTGTTGGCAACCCATTTAGGTGCGGATATGTGACTGCCATTTTAATTAGGCACACGACCGGCATAGAAGAACCAGTGACTCAACCACCCATGGCCAAGTGAAACATTTTCATTTAGTTTAATTCTTTTCTCATTTCAGGTAAGTCCACCAGGCCACTTAGAATCTTTGCAACGCCAAGTCAACCTGTTTCCGTGTTCGCTGGGTAAGTGAGTTGCTCAACCTGTCGATGATGTTCGGGTAGTTGGATACTACTTGGGTAGATGGAAGCTGGGCTATGTGTGTCGTCTTGCATCGATAGTCGATCGCACTATGGCCATAAATTATGTCGTTGTTTGCGCAGAGTCTCTCAAATGCGGAGACTCAAACGCGAAGTCATTCCCGGCCTCTACTACCAATCATCATTGTTAGGTGCACATCAAAATTTATAGGTCAGTAGTGGCAACAAATTGCCAGACATTCCGATGCCTGCCTGCCCAAATCATTGCCGATCCTCCACTTAGATGCCCTCCATCTTCATCGCTGTCTCACTGACTGCAGTTATCCGTCTTGACTGTATCTAATAAGGCTTGACCAGTTCCCTTGTCCATGTCATCATCCAAAAAAAAAAAGCGGAAAACAAAACGATACGCTGCGAAACCAACCCAAACAAACTGACCCACTCAACAATTGTATTGAAAGTTTTCGGTTGCTTTTCAGCCTGTTCCCTAACCCCCTTTCCCTCCACCAACTTATGACAATCGATTTGCAATGGAAAGCCAAAGGCCTGGAGGCGCTCCATTTATAACAAGTGGCCAGCTCTGGCTGGCCAACTATCCAAGTCGGCAACCCAGCTGTACAGTTTGAGAAATATTAGAATTATTGATCTTTAAATAAAGACAAAGCCTCATTAGGGGATCTTAAGTACCTATATTGGTTTAAAAAAAATCTTTAGTTATGAGAAAAAGTTTCTAAAAAGTACTCTTCGTATTCAATGAGTTTATTCCTTAACTAATATTATGAGAATCGTAGAGAAAGGACCTATGGAAATTCATAAATGTTATCAAAAATTTGCAACTTTAAAACACGAAAATGGAAAATTTCTATTTTTATTTTATAGTTTCCCCGCTTACAATTTCATTACTTTTTTAAATTTTTAACATTTACACAAATTTATTTTCAGTGTATTTCTAAACTTTTTGTGGCTCCTACTCTGCCTTGTTGTTGTTGCTGTTGTCATTGTCGTTGTCATCGCTTGTTGCTTTGTTGTTACAGTTTGAGAGTCAAGTTGTTCCAATAATTCTGCATTTGACATTCAACGGGGTTTTGCTTCGGTTCTTCTTGTTTTTGTTTGCTTAGCCCGAAACGGTTTCCGTTTTTTTTTTGTTTTGTTTTTTTTTTGTCCAGAGATGTCTCTGTCCTCTGGTCTTAGCCCATTGTCTTGGGAAATATATATCTAGGCTTGTCAGGCGCTTGCCGCCTTTCCCCTTTCCCCTTTTCCTGTCATTGCTAATTAAGCCAAAGAAGGGGAAGAATTTTGGAAAGGAGTTGGCAGATTCCCTTTGTGCGTTCTTAAGAAATATTTTTGTCGGTATTGGGTGTATTTAATTTATAAAGAATTTAATAAATTTAATGGAGAAATCTTAATATTCTATAGAGATCCTTTATAAAGTGAAAAATGTTAATAAAATAAGAAAGACTAAATTATCCAAACTTTAAAATAGAGAACCACAATTTAAGTGCTCAATTTATATTTTTCATTTCTTCCCAAGAATACCTCTTCATGTAAACTCACCTTATTATCCTTATTGGCGGCTCCAAGTTTCTGCTGGTAGTACTCCTCCCTAGCGTTCGTGTTGAGGCTGTCGATTAAGGCCGAAGCATTGACATGTCCGTCGTAGACCATGGTATCCTGTTGGTTGCTATAAGTGGCAGGAGTAGCACCGGATCCTGCAGCTGCTGCTGCGGATGAAGAGGCAGCTGCTGCTGCCGCTGCAGCCAGTGGAATATTAGCCTGAGGAGTACGGGTATACATCTGCTCGATGGGCAAAGCAGGAGATGCTGAGTTCGTGGTAGCTGAAGGAATTGACGAAGAAGACGGATTGGATGAGGAACCTCCTCCAATTGAGGGTGTCACCTTTTGCAAGGGTTTCGATTGCTGCTGCTTCTGCTGGAAGCTATTGGTGGCTAGTTTTTGCTTTTGAGTGGTGCTACTGGCGGTGGCAGTGGTGCTGCTGCTTGGTTTCGAGGCTGCTGCCGCATTAGCAGCTGCTGCACTGACACTACTTGGACGCTGACCTCCGCGTTTCAGGGCGGCGGTGACCTTGTGGGCGAAAGGTCGCTTGGTGGCCCTATTCTTTAGTTTTCCCATAGTGGTCAAGGTGCGCTGCTGACTGCCCGAATTGGCGGTGGTTGTGGTGGTGCCATCGGCATCATCGGCCGCCGTTATGGCCGCTATATTGTTATTCGATCTGGCAGCCACAAACTGATCATCGGGATCGGTGGAATCGGTGAGGGATTCATCACTGGTAGTCGATGCCTCCGATTGGGTGGTCAGGTTGGGTGAAGTGGTCTCTCCCTCCTCATCGGTGGCCTCCGATTCCACTTCCTGCTGACTCACATCCGTGGTCGTTGGCAGCTCCTTCATTATGGTACTCATGGCAGCCTGCTCGTTCATCGTATTTTGTAGTTCCAGCAAAGTGGTTTCGTCTAGGATTAGAGTGGGATCCGTTTCAGCTTCGGTGGCTCCAGTTGGCGGCTGAGTGCTCTGCTCGAACTGCTCCTGATCTCGTTCCGTTTCCGCTTCCGTTTGTGTTTCTTGGGGAGTGGTACTGGAGGTACTACTGCTCCTTGAGGATGTGGCTTCCTGTCGGTTAAACTGCTGCTCTTCAATGTCCAGAGATTCCTTTAACCTGGCCACACGCTCCACAATCCTGGCCAGCATATCCTTCTGCTGCTCAGGCAGATTTTTTGTATCCAGCTCCAGTAAGCGATCATATTTCCGGATATTCCTCTTTACGGTCTCAATGTCCGCCCTGGTTTTGGCCGAAGTTAAGCCGGGTGGGGGATTGGGATTGGAGCGTGGTGACTCCTGGAAATAGGTGCGTGCCCGGCGATTGCTGTAGCCCACCAGTTCGATAACACCCGGATAATCCGCCGAGGAGCCAGCAGCAGCGGAAACAAACGCAATCAGGGCCATAAAGCAGCTCCAGGCTGCACTTAACCGCACCATTTTGACCAAGATTGCAGTTTCGTTTTCTTCAGGTTTCTATTGGCTAAGACTTGGGATTCTTAAGCGATCTTGCTTACTATTTTATTTTTTGATTCTCTTTACTTTTTGCACTCGCGATTCACGTTCGGTTTTTCTTGAATTTCTCGTATTTCACTCGCTCTCGTATTAGTGTCAACTAACAGTAACTCCAAATCTTTGGCCACACAGACACACACGCGAAGTCCAGAGTCAGGAATCAGTATCTTTTACCAGCTGGCTGGGACACTTTTTATTATTTATCTAAGTTTATTTTTTCTCTACTTTTTTGGGCCACGATCCGCTGACTTCTAACGTCGGATTACAAATGTTCCAGGCCGCTGGATGGCAGCGTCTTTTAAAAATTTCCAAGCGGAAAACGCGGCGCAGACTTTTCTCCCAACTGGAGCTTCGGTTTGGTAGCTTCTTTCACCAAGTTCATGGCCAGACCGGTTTGAAGCCAACATGTTGCGCGCCGCGATTGCGATCGTTGTCGCAACCGAAGAGCGGAGAATCCCAGAGAATCCCGGAGAATTGGAGAAACATAAATAGATATATACGTAGAGAGGTGAGAGAAGAGCGCTTTCTCTGTGAATGTTGCCAGCGTTTTGGCAGCGAATGTTGCCAGGGCCAAATTGACAAATGAAGAGCGTTAATTGCAACATGTTGCTGGGCGAAGCCATTAGGCCCGGGCACACGCCTTCCTTAACGTATCTGGCGGATACGTATCATCTGCGAGATATACGAGCCCATGCACTATTCAATTAGTCATTCCAGACACACGTCGACCAAGACGGGAATACTCTCAGCTACACGGAGAAAACGTACATTTAATGAGTTAAATTCGCGAGCTAAGAATATATTTTGAACGTGGTTATGTTAGGGGTTTTCAGATGAAGTTTTTCCATAAACATTGACTTTTTTAAAACCAGAACTTGTATGTAGGTCAAGTGACTTTTTATAATTTGTTTAAACTGCTTATTTATTCTTAAACAATAATAATAATAAAAATAAGTTTAATTGGATGATCCAAAAGCATTCAAGCATTCACATTTGTCATAAATATTTATTTGTAATATCTTCAACAGTGAATTCTCTATTTTTAGATATAAAAACTTAATCTTGGCCCCCTAACTCTTATAATTACTTAACAATTTGTAGTTCTCTGTGTACGGCCTGATTCTTGAGCTGCTTTCGCTTCAATGTCAACCCGGCTCGTTTAGTCTGTCATCGATTTGGACTGGTACTCGTAGAACCAGACAAGACCAGAGCCAGCAGATCTAACACCTCTTACCCAAAACCAGCTGAAAATTCTTGGTTTCTCTCTGGCTCAATTTAGCTAAATGCTTTCGCATTAAACATAATTTGTCGCGGCCTTCTTAATTGCAGATTGGGAAATATGTGGCTTGGCTCTACATCGAACACTCTCTCTCCCAGTATCATTTCTATTTTTTTTTTTTTTTTAGTTTAGTTTTAGTTTCTCGAGACCTTTCTCCCTCTGGGTGATCTATAGCCCCAATCGTGCCCAGAACTTCTAATGAACTTCAGGCGGCTCATCCATTTCCATTTCACAGTATTCTCATATTTATACACTAACAAAGAGTGCTTTCTTGAAGTGGTTGAAGCCAAAAGGTGTTTGAATAGATAATAGGAGTGGGTCTTTGTTATTTAAATTTGTTTATACAATTTTATAAGTTGTTATTGGAAAATATTTGATTTATAAAACAAATAAATACGTTACTCTTAAAGAGGTTTTGTGAATCTTTCAATTGAAAATACTTCTTATTAGGTTGCTATTTATGTACAAAAGTGGCTTATATTTCTTAAAAAATGTTTACTATTATACACAATACTACTCTATCATTAACATTATCACATAATTCTTGTAGAAGAATATGTAGAAGAATATCATTTTTGTTCCCAATAGCCAATGAAATTGTGTACCCTTTTATCATTTTGTGAATTGGTAAAATGAAATGTGGTTTCTTTGTAAATAAATAAATATTATTTAACTTTTATTTAAAACTTATATTTAGTTTTGAACTTCTTAAGTCAAGCTTTCTGCTCTGCTTTAAATTAAATAAAAAATAAACAATATAAACTAGCAGATAAGTTTCCGTTTCCTTGAGCGTTCATTGGCAGTAATACAGCGGTTGAATTTCTTCATCTTTCAGGAATCTCAATTATGTTTTTCCCTATTCCCAAAGAGCATTAAATATGCCATTTAAAACATTTCACCAGGTCCCCTTTCATTTTCCTAGCCAACTATTCGGCTGGCTACGGACAATTTCCCTACCGCATGGGAACTGCAATAAAACAATAACAAATGAACTAATAAGAAGACGTTGCCAAGCTAAGCTTAAGTTCAGCGGAAAGGCTGTTGTGGAGCTTCCCATTTTTCACGTAGCCGCGCAATAAAAGAAACTGAGCGTTAATTAAAAAAATAGCCATAGATCAATGCACCTGATAGATGCGGGAAATGTTTGTTCTACTGCTTGTGTTGCAAGTTGCTGGTTGCCAGGTTGCTCTTGGGGCTTTTTTTTCTGTCTGTGTGTTTGTGGCAGCAGCAGCAGAAATTTGCCATCGGCAAATGTGGTGTAATTTGTGAGAAAAAGGCTGGGCTCCTTAGCCCTTTTTAGAGCCCCTAATGGAGAGAGCCCAGAGCGATCTCAGAACCCGAAAAAAAAATAGGAAAAAATGAAAAACAAGGGGGAAATAGAAAAAATAGAATGGTAGAACGTTGACAAGGCTGCAGGCGCTTCCTTCATTAGCATGGAATGGGTGGAAAACTGGTCAACTATTTGGCTTTCCTCTCTGACACACATAAGGCGTTTATAATCATTATGGGATAAACGCCGGAGTTGTTAACTCCTTCTGCAACTGTTGTTGCAACTGCTGCTGCTGCAGTGAGTGGGTGCTGCTGTTGCGTGGTTCCAACTTTCTTCGTCTCTTATCTTTTGTGCATATGCAGCGGGCACAGCAGCAACATCCCCCAGACACAGCAGCAGCATCAACGCAATGGCGGCGTCTGCATTCTTTGCTAGCTATAAAATATGCGACCGACGATCATCTAAGTACAACAGCAACAGCAACTGCAACAGCGAGTGAAGCAGCAAGAGCAACAGCAACAGCAACAGCAACGGCTGCAGCCGCGCAGCAACTCTTGAACTTTACTGAGCTATGAAAATGCTTTTGCCCTTTTTCTATGCTGTCTTCTTCTTCTTATTTTACTGCAGGCAGCAACTGTTTAGCATGATCTACACTGAGAGAAAAGTCGTAAAATATAAAATAATATATTATAAAGTTAAATTACTTAAAAACTTGAATTTCTGATTATATCTTATTTAGCTCATTTTTAAGTATTTTTCTTAACTATTTTAACATCTCTAAAGAGGATCCTTAAATACAAAAAACTTCTTTGAGTGTAGCTTAAATGAGTGAAAGAGAGAGGGAGAGGCAGCACGATGTTGCTGCTGCTGTTGCTCAAGTGCCAATAGCAATCTTCTTTTTTTTTCCAACCGCTTTTTCCTCCTGCCGTTGCTGTTGTTGTTTATTTCCCCCTGGCTTGATCTTTTGGTCTTTGGCGGTAATTTTTCTGCGCAACTTTTTCCTTTTGGCCAAGACATTATTGGCTTTCGGTTGCCTTCGCTTCGGCTTTTCCTACTCCTCTCTATTTCGGTGCCATTTTAGCGCTGCTCTTTTTTTATCTGCCAAAGTTTTGTCTTCATTTTTATTTTAATAGCGATCTTGATACTGTTGTTGCTGCTGTAGCTGATGCTGCTGCTGCTACTCCTCCACTCTTCTTAGCTGGATTTCTGCGGTATCTTCTCTTTATCACATAATGATTTCAAATGGTGCGAAATTAATTTGAATTATTACTGTTATTAGCTGTTATTTGTGTAATGGCCGGTGCCTGATCGCAGCCCAAAAAAAGAGTCTGCGGCGTTGGTACAGTTGCAGATGTTGCAAGTTGCTGCCGTGCATTATGCAAGACGTGGGTAACTAATTCTACAAGAAATGCTCGGAAACTCAATGATAAGCTATGAGAATGAGTAATTTCAGAAGGAGCAATTACTGCGGTAAAAACATAAAGCAAAACCTTGATTTAAACTTAGGCTTAGGCCTATTTATTGCTGTTTTTAACCATTAAAATTAATAAGTAAAGATACTATACAAATTGATCAGTATTAAAACAGAAGATAGAGATCGAATCGATTTCATTTTTCAGTTTAACATGAATCACATTTCTAATTATATAGCCAAAGTGACAGTCCGATCAGCCAAATAACATATATCCCACAAATAGGTGAAAAATAGCCAAGTTGATGACCAGCCTTGTTGGCATTTTTTCCTGTGCAACCTTGGCATCAATTACCAATTCTCGTTGGCCGTTTAAATGACAGTGTCTTTGTTGTTCGGCAGCGGTTAGCCGGCCACATTTAAATTTATTAAAACTGCACCAGCCAGTAACGGACAACGTTTGGAATGTGCAACATGTTGTTGCTGCTGCTGCTGTGCAGTTCAGTAAGTTGCAGTTGCTGTTGATGTTGCGTTCAATGACCAAGGTGGTGATCTCTCTTGTCCCTCGTTCCGGCATCCTGATGGCGCCTCGACCATTTGCAATTTGCCATTTTACCATTTTAGCATTTTAGCATTTAAGCATTTTGCATGCAATTTGATGCCATTTGTCATTTGCTTAATTGTGCCCAAGCCGTGTGTGCTGCACTTCCTGCCAGATCAGTTCAGTTCAGTTTGAGGTTTTTTCTTACCGTTTCTAATTGTTGGCCAGCACGCAGCGGCAGCTACAGCGGCAGCGTTACCTGCAATCTGCCGGCTCTCGGACCCATTTAGTTTCAATTAATCAAGTTGTCGCTGCACGCGTCTATTAGCTGTTTATGACAAGTGTTCTCGGGCGACGGATCGAGGGAATATCTTGGGACTTGGAACTTGAAACTTGGTAGATCAGACGCCTTCGGGTGTCCGCCTGTCGCTCATTAGCGGCGCCCCCGAAGTCTTCGCTGATGTTTCTGCTCCTGATGTGGCCTCCTCCTTCTCATCCATCAGCTGTTTGTTATTAAATATACGTGTGGCAGTTGCCGCTACTGCCTGCCGGGGCTTTGAACTGTTCTTCAGCGGGGTTTTAAGCTTGAGTTGCAAGTTCGAATCGGGGATAGTTTATTACCTAATATTAGGAGGTTTCAAGGGGTATATAGCCTTGATAAAGAAAATGTTTCAGAATTATGTTTCTTTGAAAAGCCAGCTTAGTTATTAGTAAATCAGTTAGACCTTCTTAAGCTGCAAATTTGTGTTAAATAAATTCTTAAAAAATGCATTATTCTTCATT